GAGAGGGAAATGAAATGAAAACAGCCCCATCACTTACTTTGTGCATATATAAGTAACAACACAAGAAGAAAGCGCAGTACAGGCGCGTGGGGGGAAAGCAAGGTTATCGTACCCACAACCACCGTTTCGGATGTAACAAAATAGGGCAAGAAAGGAGAACTGCAAATATGAGAATGATAATTGCAAATATTCTCAGCCACTAAAAAGCTTCTCCCGTCCCCAAACTGGGGAGCAGATAATTGAGGGGTCCTGCCAATGCTCACTGCTATACCGTCCCCTAAAACTTAATAATTACCAGCTTGTTCTCTATGGACGGTGCTCTGTAAGAGAGAGCGCAACATCTTACTGGTTCCTCCTTGCCTTAAGACCGTCTAAATTGGTACGTCAGCTACCAAAGTTAACCTTGAAGGTTTGCAAGAACACATAACTCAAAATAATTTGCTAAGGGATTATAAAACTCTATCTCCTGCTGATGGGATCTAATGTTATTCCCTGCAAAACAAAACCACTATCACAAAGAGAAACTTATATTGCATAAATTACGTAGCATAAAATACAATTTTGCCAGGCCTAGCTATCTGTACTTAAGTCGACAGCATTATATACTCTGTCCACCTAAACTGGAAATGCAGTTTAGCCATCGTACTCTACGGAAACAACATGCCCCCAAGAAAAAGCAAACTTGGAGAACTCTAAAAAAGCTTAATACACAGTATCTCTGCCAGATACATAATAAGAGAACTCAAATTGAACAGAAACATTCAGATATTTTCATAAAGAAAGAGGGCAACGTGAAGTTGAAATGAACAGAAGGACATATTGGATTAAAGTAGGATAACCTTTAAATAACGTCTTTTAAAGGCACAGAGCATTTGTAGGAAAAAAAAAAAGGTTCTTTAGAGGAGAGAGGGCCTTAGGCTGCCTGATGCGATACAAATCTAATTCCTTAAATAACATATGCTTCAATTAAAAAAAGACAAAAACAACTCGTTATTTATCAGATGAAAAGTTACCACTTTCCAGATGACTCGCAGCACATGCAGCCTGGGCTTTGCATATTGGGGTAGTGCAAATATACTTTAGTGCTCTGATTTCAAGGTTTCTTTATACCCAATATACTAGTCCTTCAGCTTTGAATCGCAATCACGGTTCCACTGCAGAAAACCCCATGAGCTGCCCAATTTTTAAACACACCAAAAGTTTCCAATCAGCAAAAGCAAAAATATTCCAGGAAAGAAAAAAACAAATCAGCTATGAAAAAACTGCCTGAATAAACAAAGTTGTGATCGACACCCATATTCCACACATTAATCATTGAGGTTTTGCAAAGATTATATTAAAGCAAGAGACATGCAGAGGACGTGTACTAAATCGGGGACAAATAAAACCACTGCAGATAGCTAACGCTTACAAACGTCCTCCGACTCGCAGCAAAGCATCGATAAATCCTGTATTCTACGGCATCTTGACACCAAAAATTATGTTAAAGCAGAGCCCCCCGCCCCCGCATGGAGGTTTTGCTTTTAATGTGCTCCTGACAGACTCCTGAATGCAGTTTTTCACTAAGGGGAAGGGCAAGAAATACTGAAAAATGGCCCAGTGCCAGGCTGCGCAGCCAGCGTTACGCCAGAAGAGAGAAATTAAAACCCCGTAACACAGCCAAGACAGAAAAAGCTTACACAGACTTTTCATATATACTGCATTTTATTTATAGGAAAGCAGTGAATAGGCAAAAGCAGATCCGTCTCGTGCAAACTCCCAGACGCGCAGCGGGAGAAATGCGAGGGAGGGTAGCAGCACCATTTGCTACGTTTTGTCTTCTTCAAAGAAACATCGCCATTCTTTTTTTCCCTTTTTTTTGTCCATCTAATTTTACCTATTCTACCTAATTCTACTTAAGCACCTTGAAATCAGTTTGCTGTTTGAGGGACTGCAGAAACAAGTTATTTAGATAAGAGGCCTGTTCATAAAATTCATCTATGGAGAAAAAGCTGAACATCTGTAGGGGTTTTTGTTGATATACCCTTTTTTTTTTTTTCATCCTCCCCTAACCGCCTCACTCCTTCACACCAATGTATAAACAAACCTGAGCAGTAGAATAAATACACTGAATAAATCCATGGAATAAATCCAAACGGAATAAATCCATTTTCTAACTTTATGAGGGTACAGCAAAATCATATGCCTATCAGCAGGCAAAACGACATTCTCTTTGGAAAAAATTGGCCAGACACTTTGGGCTGATATATGCACGCAGTTCTGCAGCTCCTATCATGCCATACGTACTATGCCAATGTGTAAATGTTAACAGGTAAATGAAGATCTAAAGACGCAGCTTCCATCAGATTAATATTAGTCACTGCTAATGCACTGTTAGCACCTAGTACTAAATATCCACAAAGAAAACATTCACCAATATTCATACGGCAAAGGTGATCAGCGAAATCCTAGAATATGCAATACAGTACTTCGGGCCTAAGGAAGAAGATAACTCAAGAATTTAATTCTCAGGCTGTTGAGCATTATCTGTATCATTAGCTTCCAAAGGACCGCATTTCCACTCCTAGTGTCTGCTGACTTCACTTTAAAAGTTAATTGATTAGTTGAATGAGGTTAAACTCATTTATTGTAATATCAGTCTAATATCAAGCACAAAAACAGGTATCTATTTTAAGAACAAGCAAAAGGAACCATTAATGCTGCTTCACATTTCCTAAAGAAGTTTGAAGATTCATTTTGTTAATAGCTTGCAGAGTTTCTGGGGAGCTCCAGCAGCGATACGTCAGCAGAAAGCTAAACAACAGATGTGCAAGGTGAACGAGCTTGCCTCACTTCCAGCTCATGGGATCATGGCTGGTTTTAGAGAAAAGATAGCCACCCAAAACCGGTGCAAAAACGCACAGAGCGTGTTATTTGAAAGCCTTTTCAGTCCCCTGTCACACTGCTCCAGGTGTCATCTGTTGCTTCCCACAGCAATCCATGCTTATCATCCATCTTCATAAGAATATGGCATACATTCCCGCATCCCATTTGTTTTCCTGTAAAGATTTAAAAATAAGCAGCTGGATTCTGAGTCTATTTATAGCAGAGGCTGCGAGGGCTCTCTCGCTCTCAGTGCTAAAAAAATTGCGAGGTGCACTCACTTTCACGTATGATTAGAAAGTCAAGACTTCGTTATCCATGGAGGCTATCCAAGGGGGGAGGCAAGCTGCACGAGGAAACCACCAAGAGAGGCACAACGATGGCTGGAAAGGGCTGTGTTGCACTTCAAAAGAGCTCTCAAGAGTGATATACAGAAATAGCAGCTCAGCTACTATTGCTATTACTATTGCTATTACTATCATTCCTATTGCTATTACTGTTGCAACTGCAACACTGGTGCAGATAATCCCACTTCTCGAGCTAGCAGGTGGACCTCCAACCTCCTCTGCAGGTATATGCACGCTCATATCCACCTTGCAGTTTTCCACGGTTATAAAATTGAGCCATTACTGCCACCCCTTGATGCCAGTTGCTGCCCAGTTATAGCAAAGAATTTTGAGATCTGTGGAAGCAAGTTCTACTGCCTTAAAACAGCAGGGATGATACTGCCAAACTAAGTTCTGGAGACCTCCTACTATAATCTTCTCAGCCCTGTTAACTGCATCAGCCATTTCCACCAATAGGCAAGAAGCATACTGGTGTTGAAGTTAAAACGCTAATTAGAAAAGGGTAATGGAGAAGATTTCCCACCAAAACGTTTGAATACAGTCAAAAATACATCTGACTGCACTCCAAACAAAACCAAAATCAAGGCAAACTAACTAGTTTCACTTACAGAAGAGGGGATCTGCTTCAAAAAGTCAGACGATATTTTGGTTTCTGTGTATTATAAAATATACACTGAGGTTCAAGCAGCAGCTGAAGACCTTAGGAGAAAATCATAAGCTTTAGGAAGCCTCGGGTAGGCAAGTAGCGCTCAAATTGAACATACTTGCAGTTTCATAGCAAAATCACAAAGCCATTAGCATTAAGTGAAAGATAACGATAGAAAATTCCCAGGACATCAAGTGGTGTAGAGTTTAGATAATAGTCAGAAAACAGACAATTAGCATTTGTTTTGATGAATTCAGAATTTAAATAAACATTTTTCTATCTGAAAAGTACTCAAATGGCACAATTTGACGTGTTCACAAATAACTATTCATAACAGTTTAGCAATTACTTTTTTTAATTAGTAATTTGAATGCTCCTTTAACTTTTATATTCAAATTAGTTTTATACCTAATACAAATATTTAAAGGATATATTGCAGTGAGGATACACAAAAACTGTGAAGCACATCTTCTCAGGAGAAAGAAAAAAAGTCTGATTTTTCCAGAAGTGTAAT